ACAGAAAAGATATAAATACGAAATACTCAAATCACGTAAACTAATATTTACTGAATGATTATATAACTTTTGCAACTGTTCATTGCTCTTCCATGTATATATGTATGCATATTTATGCGTTTGTAAAGCACATGAATATATATTGACTGCATAAATGAATTATTTCCATTATTCAGATTTAATTACGAAAAATAATATTTGCTTTCTTTTCACTTAGTTTATCTTTTCAAACTTTACCATCTACTTTTTTCTACTTGCTAATACACGAATATATCATACTCTAATTGAACTTTACAACAATAATTGAATCAAATTTTTATTTTGGCAGAAAGAAATGAGATAGGCATTCAGATAATATTGCTACCGTTCATGATAACTTACTAAGAGCACATCTCAAATGGCAAAGTTAGCAACCTCGGACTTTTTGAGTAGAAATGATGCATAAATAAATGCGAAAACTTCGGATTTAAATCCGAGAGTTATGTGTACTTCAAAAAGTGAATGAGACAGATGAGTCATCCTAGAATGTGTGGACATCAAAATTATCCTGGCAAANATTAACTTGTATTTATAGTAAAAAAATACATCATTGACATTATATTCTTTTTCAAGTGCTATCATGTATCAATATAAAATTATTCTGAACGTTGACTTAGCTTATAGAAGATATTTAAAGTCTCAATCGATGATGTCAAGTTTTAGTGTATTCAGTTTCAGACTAAAAGAATGATGCACCTCTTGCGATATCTATTTCCTAGAATTGGATAAACCCTTTCTCTCAAAAAATGATACTCAAAAAAATAATAAGTTGTTATGCTAATTCAAAATAGTTTTCAGTGATACGCTTTGATGTTGATGTGATGAATTTCATCGTACATAAATAAAGGATTCAATTCATGAAAAAAAAATACACTACTGGATAAGTATGAAACATGCGCTGTTTATTCACAACAAAAATTGAAATTAGAGGTAAAAAAAATATTTTCATCATTTTCGACTTAATTTCAAATGAGAATTACTGAGATTCATTTTTATTTGAAACTCGACATGCCCTGTGATGCTTACACATACTTGAATAAAAAGTTCAAATAAAAGCAATATCAATAGCAGTTACTCCAGTTTTATTTTAATTTAGTTACTTGAATCGACTATATTCTTAGCTACTTGAAATAATTATCCTTCATGATTTTTATGTAAAACGTGATTCTTTGAGTTACTTGATTGAAATTTTCGGGGTGTGATTTTTATGATCGAAGAAACTAAATTCTAAAAAACCTCACTATAGATTCAATAGAACATCATATATATTTTATGAATTTTTGAATTATGATTTAATTACAATAGTTATAATTCAACGATAATTTCATGATTTTTTTTTATTCATATTACAAATGTGAAAGAAAACGTTCGTTTATCTCGAACCGCTGGAAATTAATTCACAATATATCAAGAAACATTTTTTGTCAAGAAACTATATCGAAATTTTCAAGTTGAGATATAAAAAAAGTTCATTTACCAAAAAATATTTATTTTTCTATTCATTTTACATAGAATGTTCTTATTAGGAACATTTTTTCGCTGGCTGTTCGAATTAAGAACAGTGTTCCTAATAAGGACAGGCGAGTTATTTTTTAAACTTTAATATCTTTGTTAATATAAGTCGAAAAATTCTCAACCTTGAGATTAACATGTCTTGATTGATAAGAAACAACTTTTGTCATGGGACCACAAAAATATTTCTAAGTTTAGATAGCAAAAACATTCATTTAGTAAAAATTTTTCGTTCTCCCTATATTTTAAATAGCCTGTTCTTATTATGAACATTTTTTGGCTTATTGTTCTTATTAGGAACAGAGCTCCTAATAAGAACAAATTCAATCATTCGCAAACTACCGCTAATTACTCAGGTAGTTTTCAAGATAATTAAATTTTTCTTATATTATTTGATTCAGAAAATATTTCTCTACTCAAAAATATAAAAAATCTATATGTTCCTATATAAACGTTTTAGAAAAAAAGAAAAATTCTCAAGGCATTTGAAAAGCTGTTCTTATTAGGAACATGCGCTGTAAATGGTCACTCATTATAGTTGTACAACTTTTTTCAAAACAGAATAGAAAATGAACAGCTACGTGGTTCACGCGCGTGGTAATAAGACAAGCTGGTAAACTGATGACTGTAACTAAATTATATTTTCGAGAAAATAGATTGAAAAACGAAAAGTCCAAGAATGACTGCGTGTGTAACGTCTGAAAAGAAAGAAAACAACGAAAAAGTATCTCATTATTCTGCTTCATATTTCTGTAAATAAAAAACGATTACAAATGTATGTCAAAACAAACCGTTACAGCTCTTTTGGACATCTCAGAATCTTCCTCTTCTGCGCGATTGGGAACATAGACTCCAGTCGTCATTATCCTTACAGAGGAGTATGTTAGACTTGACTAACGAAATAAAAAAAATAGAACCCATGGAAGTGTGAGAGCTAGAGTATATCAATAGAATACCAAATATTTGTAATCAAATAATAGCTAATCACGGTTGGAAAAGTACAGGGTGATAGAAACTTTCGTACACTTTCAGATTATGTAGTTAGTTTTTGTAGTAACTTCTTGCTATATTAAAAATAAATTTGTAAAACTGAATGAAAAAGAAACAAAAAAATAAATTTCCGAGGAATCTGACGATGAAGGTGTCTTTGTTATGCTTGAATTTATTTTTAGCAAACAAATGCAATTCAAAACATTCATATATAGAGTTGTAGAGAACTCCACGGACTATCCGAATATATAATTAGTTTTCTCAAGTTGTTAATTTATAGTAATGATGTGTTCAAAATACCGAATCTAACCATTTGTTTCCAGAAAGATATGAACACTTTCAAGACTAATGATAACATGTCTTTACACTGATCCAAACTGCATAGATTTTACTAAGAACCGGACCATGCTCATCTCTGATTGGGAATATATTTACTTTAATCACATCGCAGAACAGAAAAGAAAAACTGCACGTTGAAAGTTAAACAATAGTTTAAAATCAACTCATAGCATAGAGAAGAAGAAAAATGACATACACCATTAGGTATGTGAAAGCTCAGCTCGATTTGCAACAAGCTGGAGTTGGTCAACTAGCTATAGCTCCTTGCAAGCTGAGTTAAGCTGTCACATACCTATATACAATCAGTCAAAAAAGTACTCGGATACTTAAAATCACTCCCACTCTTTCTGAAAATCCATCTTGGGCTAGATACATGCAAATTGCATGAAATGTTTAGGATATGTTAGGGTTGTTGTGGAGAGACTTTAGTAAAGTTTTCTGCCCTTTACCATGACGTTTGAGAGAGATATTTACCCAACAAGGATCAAAAGTAGTTCATTTGGCAACCTAAAATTCTTTCTGGACCTTCACTCTATATATTTGTTTTTTTTTACTTTTGAAAGAACATGTCGGGATGCATGGCATGACAGAGCTCTTTTTTAATTCGTAGTTTTTAAGTGGAGAAAAGAGGACAGAAGTTCAATAAGTCAAAACACATTCAAAAATCCCGAAAAATCTACCATTTTTTGGAAGTTTTTTGGAAGTTCCTCGACTTTAGTCACAATCAAATTCTAACTTCTCTGAGGTAAAAGTTTTCATGAATGAATGATACTGGAAAGTGTTTAACATCGTTTTCTTTGAGGCTGTTTACCTATGTTTTGATAGTATAAACCTCATAATATCAAGAATCTAGGATTTTTTATTACAACAAAAATAGAGTGTTATAATATAAATATTAACAATGTTTTCTTTTTTAACTAACAGAAGAGTAGTCTTGATATTTCGACCATTATCAAAAATGACAATATTACTACTTACTATGTTGTTGAGAGCTAATGCCGTAACCAAATTTGCTCATATTTATGTTGTAACACTCTCTATTTTTACTGTAATAAAAAAATCCTAGATTCTTGACGGTAATGATCTTTTTCACCAATATTTTCTCATTTGTATGCAAAAAAACTCATATTGCCTCGAAGGTAATTTTTTTTCCATATCTTTTCTACTTTTTTTGTAGGAAATTGCGAGTTTCATAACATGTCAAAATGGTGACCTTTTCCACCTATGTTGGTCCAGTAAATAAATTATACACTATATTCTAAATAGCTCATTTTTTTCCGTTGTTGATGATCTATCCTTTGATATATTGCATCCAAAAATTCTCTGACTTGTAGAAGTACAATCCTAGTAGATATTTATGAAACTATTAATCCTTATGCTTTTGATAGTAGGTAAACAGTGCTGAAAAGTCGATCAAGACTTACTTTAATATAAAACATCCTCTGTTCAGATGTTTTGAAGACGGTTCCGTTTTTCATACAAAGAGATAATGGATAAGTATCTGCACAGGTCTTCTAGTAATAGTCTCATTGATATCTTCTGTTGGAAAGGTCTTTTTTTTTCGTTCTACTGATCGACCCCTCGGAGTACCATTCACTAGCAAATCGAGGATTCAGCGATGGGTGAACAATTTTCAACTCCATCCAACTCATCGAATATCTCAGATCGATGGCTTAAAATACCCATCGAGTGACAGCTTGTGAAAGAAATATTTTCAATTCGATATACAGAGTTTTATTCGAAGCTACAGAATAGATAGTAGACAGTCTTTGGTCGTGTATCAACAATATCTCTCATATAAATGAAGCAGGTGTTGGCACGTCACTACATTCACAATGACAACGATAGTTTCGTCGCAGGCATTTTTGATACATGCTTGCAATAATATTTTATCGTAGAACAATTTATTAGTAATATGTTCCTTCTCTCACTTGTAAATTAATGTAAAAGAAAAAACAGAAAATTATATTATTGAACCATGAATCCATTTTGGTTTTAGAAAGAAGAAAATGATTTACATGCAGAACAGTACTATCTTGTATTAATAAATGAAAAAAAAGAAAAGTGGGATGGAGATAATAATTTATATATATGTAATACAGAAGTTTCATTTATTTTTTTTATGGGTTCATCTGACTATTGAATTGTTGCTGTTGTTGCTGTTGTTCATCATTCATGGAAATTGTAGCTTTCGTAAGACGAAAACGTGTACCATCTAACTGTGTTTCATTCTCTTTATCGATAAATGATGTCGAGGTTATAATCGAAGGATTTGATGAATATAGATGTTCACAAAATATACAATGGCTGTTTGGTAAATGATGATGATGATGATGACGATGATGATCATCATCATCAGGATGTATTGTACATGCTTGATAAGTATTATAATGTGTTGGACTATGCCAATGATATGATCTATGAGACTGAACATTTTCTTTATGAACTTGTTGTTGTTGTTCAGCTATTGATTGCACTTGCTCATGTTGAAAGATTTCAGTCCATTTAGGTGGTAAGACATCCATCATTAAAATCTTTAATAGATAAATAAATAGTTTTATACAAAAAAAAAATCTTAGTTTTTTTCTTTTATCAAATACTAACCGATAGTGGTTCTTTATTTTTGAGTCCAATATCAAGACGTTTAGCATCTTCATCAAATTGTATCATTGTCTTATAAAGTTGTTTAACTTTATCTCGTGCTTGAATATTATTTAATGTTAAATCATTTTCATTAGTCATATCTAAATCATGTAATGAAGCAAGTGCAAGTAATTGTTTATGTAATTCACGTTTTGCACTATCATCAGTATGAAATGATGTTGAAATTCCAGTTGTATTTTCATCAATAAGTTCTTGTGTATTACGAATTGTTTTTTGATAATCACGAAATCGACGCATATCATTGTGAAAAAATCGATCTGTATTAGATTGTTGTTTTTCATTTTTCGAATTACTTGGTGCAACTTCTTTTATTCTTAAGACAATTAATCCACATAAAACTATACATAGAATATTAACAAGTGTAAGAAGAAAACTTGAAATAGCCAAAATAAATGTTTCAATTGATATATTACATGAATACAATGAACGATATTCATTTGATAAATGTACTTGACATATCATTTTATTATATGGATAAATTTTACGTTCGAAAATCTATTTATTCTATATAATAAGATAAATCATTCAAATAAATATACATACATAAGTTTCATTTGAACGACGACCAAATGAATTTGGTAAAATTACTGTTAATAATGAATAACCTAATAGAAAACCCTAAATACAAAAGCAAAAGATTGTTTTATTCATAAGCAAATGCAATAGAGATTATACTGAGTTAACAGCTGGTGGAAGTAATGATGCTGATATAGCTACACCGACTAATGAACCTAAAAAACAACGAATAAATAAATAGAAGTTTGATTTAATTATTTAATTAATCTTACCGGCATTTCCTCCTAGAACTGACAGTGCAACACCAGCTCCTGAAGGTAATGCAATCATACTACCAACTGATAATCGTGTTAGATCACCACTAAAATGACAATTATTATTTAAATATATCGAAAAATTCACTAAATTTATTAGAGTACCGTGTTTTCATTTCGGCTGTTGGAAATGATGTTGTACTACCCCAACTAGTTTCCCATATAGATGTTCCTAAACTCATTAAAAAGCCTAAAAACAAAGAATGAAGTATATACAAAAAAAGGCATATATTTTATGTCTTCATTGTACCACATGAAACACAAATGAAAAGACCGAGAAATTCTGATCGAAGACCCGCTTGCCACAATGAACGATCATGAATACAAAGTCCAAAGACAATAGCTAAAATAGGACCCTAGAATAAGAAAAAAATTCTATGAACTATTCCTGCTCAATCACAAACCATTAATGGTGAAATAAGCATGGAAGCAACAAGTATAACAGAACTATTTTCAAGTAAACCCAGAGTAGCTAAAATACTAAATAAATAAAATCATAAAATCAATATGTATATATATATATATGAATACTAAACCTAGCAAGTGTCAGAAGAACAACAAAATCAAATGTTATTGACGATTGTGCACGAATAGCTTGAACAACTTGAAAAACCATTAGACGTGATCGAATACTTTGCATAAAATCTGCTCGAATAGATGTACGTTGTTGGGACGGTCTTTATAAAACAATAAATTATATGAATTTTATATTTTTTTTCTTTTTATTAACTTTCATAATCACCGAGGAAGATGTAAATCAGATAATGCTACTTTAGAATTAATTCTAGCAACTTTTGGTATATAATTTCTCTTTGATTTTAATGATATTGTAGATAATGCTGGAACTTTGCATGATGTCAATGTTGAATAGCCAATTGCACAGGTAAGAGGTACAACACTAAATAATAAGAAGTAAAAAGTCTATATACTAATAGTCGAAAGATTCGTACGCTACTCGTGTACCAGGTAATCGACCGATACCTATTTCAGATAAACGATGAAGAAGTTCTTCACAGAATATACCGATTTCCGAAATAAATTTTACCTAGAAAACATAGATGATATTTTGAATAAAAGATTTTTCATCAATATACTTCATATTGTTTTCGATTAGCAGAAAGTATCCATGTCGAATATTCTTTTAAGCCATATTTATCAAGAACGGTATTTTTCAGAAGCTATGATGAAAAAACAAAGAGAAGAAATAAATAATATTTCGATAAAGAATTTTTTCGATAAAATAAACGACTTCATTATTTTTACAGACAAAAAGAAATCTATGGAAAGTATTTAATTTTTTTCAACCTGACATAGAGATGATGATGGCAATGATGTAAGTTCAACGATTTCCGATGAAACATGATCGACTTGAGATATTTCACCATTCATTGGTTCGTTTAAATGCTAGAAAATATGATTAAGTTATATAATTTGTTAGTTTTTGAAAACGAGAAAAAATCTTTTAATGTTTACATTATGTTTATTCGATTCATGATCTTTATGATTCACAGTAACTGTCCAATCGTTCGGTATTATTATAATGAATAAATGATGATCACACATAATAATAACTGTGATTAAAATCTAAAATATGTTTCAATATATTTTTTCTTAATACAAATTACTATCATCTGATCAGCCTTTCAGGAGAGAAATGTGTTTGTTATTTTATTTTTTTCTCTTTCTTAGATGTATATATATATATACGACATGGATGTTTTATATCCGTGCAATCGATGATTATTAGAGTGACATGACCATAGGATTAATTCGTTTTAAGAGAATGAAGAAAAAAAAGTGCCTCAAATGTCATCATCCATATATATATATATACATTTAAAGAAATATACGAAATCGACAGAATATTCTTAGATAATGTGTATGTGTCTTATTGTTATTAAATATTTATATAAATATAACTATGTTTTATTTGGTTATGAAAGAGCACCGAAACCGAACAAATGTTATCGATATTCTTCTTTTGAGTAGTTACAATGAAATGAGAAAGAAATATTGCATACGTATTTTGATAGACATTATATAATAATGTTCAATAGAAACAAAACATATAAGACAAGAGAAAGTTAGCAACACTAGAAGCATTACTTTGCCATCTATACTTTTCTATTAACGCTAGGTAACATCGTTGAGTATCAACAAAAAATAAACAATTTTTTAAATATTTTTTTTGTAGAAAAATTTAATTTTTCATTCGAAAGTTTGATAAAGAAGATAAAAAGAAAAAAATTATTCATAATCTTGTCATACTTGATTGAAAAGTAAATCGTTACAATAATGTGTAATAAGTTTATTACAAATACTTTTTAATACCTTCATTATTATTTAGATTTGTTATATTTATTGATATTACATTTTTAAATATTCCTATAGATATCATTACTTTTCTCCATCAATTCAATATTTTTATTTAAAAATTCTTCTAGTGAATTGTTATATTAGATTTTGGTGATTTAACAATTTTTTCTTCAATTTCTTTCAACTACGAAAATGATATAAATTTGGTTAATATTCCTCTTCGATATAATAGCATAGACTTCTTTTAGAATCTATTGATCTCAAATATCTCAACAGCACAATTCATGTTTGATATCATTATGATCAGAGAATACATTTAAATCAGAACTTTGTTCTTCGTTACATGCACAAAAAGAAAGAAAAAGAAATCTGCTGCACTACACTGAAAGTGTTTGATTGAATAACTCTTTTTCTCTATTAATATGGTACAAGACAAATTCATTATCTTTCCTTGCAATAACATTTCTAATTGATTAATATCAAGAAGAACATAGTTCTGAAATTTTTCGAAACATAAATAAGAAATACAAAAAATATATTTAAGAGAAAGTCCACGAAGTCATCACCCAAAATAGTTTTTAAAACGAGTTTGCTATTTTGAAGAAACATAAAAAAATACTCAGAAATTCAAATTTTCACTATTTTTAGACTAGGTCTTCTAATGCTTCAACGATCTAAAAGTTTTAATCCAAAATATCGATCTGTCGAAAACTATGACTTCGATCATTTTTGTTTATGGATTTTTTTTTCTCACGAAAACATTGTTAAATTATACCGATCGATAGAGTAGAATAATAGATGAAATCGACTGTTTTTTTAGTCTATTCTACGTACTTTTTTTTACTCTTCTTGCTTCTGTTATAGAGTTATTTTTAAAGAGCGTAAGATAAATTTTATATTGTTTCGTAGAGCATCAAAAGACGTATCTTATGGCAAAAATATAATGGTCATAAAGTACTAGCAACTTCTCGAAAAGTTTTCAACAATCTTGCTCAGAATACATCATTTTCGGTATTTCCATGAAAATGTATGTATCGTTTTTTTTTCTATTAAAAGATCGCTTGTTCTCGAGAAATTCTAAGTTGTTCCACAGAAGGTCCAGAAAGTCATTGGAAACACGACCAAAATATCATGTCTTCTCTGTTTTTCCTACTGATAAGATTAGCAAAATGAACAAATACTTGGTTTAAAATAGTTCGCACCATATATAACTCAGAAATATTGATTGACCTCAAGACTTTTACTAATGATATGATATTAAACAGTAATTCTGGATAAAGTGAATATGCCTGACGTGTTTTATGTAGAAAACCAGTAGTATCTCTAATCATAATATCAATATTATGATTATAACCTATTATTCAATGAATTCGTAGAAATTTTCTCCTATTGATATACATTTTTGTGTTTCTTTTGCACCATAATTTCATTTGTCTTCGCCAGATATTGGCATGAATTTTCAGAATGACTTCATATTAACAGTACATAGTTAGTTATCAATCACATGATTATTCGAGTACAGCATGGGTACAAGTCTTCGTACCAGTACTCGACTCGAAAAGAACTCATTAATTTTGTACTGGAACCAAGGTGCGGGTATTCGACCTACGGATTGTATTACTCGAATGATTATTACATGTTTTATTCATCTTTGGAATGAATTATGATATCGATGACTGATACCAGAAGACTGAATTTCTCAGTATATTCAATACCTTTTGATACATTGTGATAACGAACTATATATCCGTCTCATATGATAGTTCGATTATTCTTATATTTATGTCTTTCTTTACATGGGTTTGATAGTTGAAGTGGTATATTTTTACTTCAGTCCTTTCTATTACAATCAAGTCAAAGTTCTAATAAATTACTACTTATCTTTATCAATATTGCAATACCCCAGACTGAGTTGATGATATGCTACTTGTCTATCTTCACTTCTTGGTTGAATGAACTGTTCACCTTTCCTTGTCATTTCTTCTCACATATGCCTTGTCCTTCTCTTCTCATCTTATCCATTGTCTCTCAACTGTCATTTCTTTTGATCACATACATTATATTATTAACCACCTAACTGTCCTTGACACTTTCTCTTTCTTCTCTCTTTTTCTCACGTATTAAAATGTGTGCTTTTTATGTAAGCGGCACGATTAAACATACGAATAAGCTCAATGAAGCGTAGCTCCATTAACACTAGTGACTTTTCTATCTACAATCGTCACAAATATAATTTTATTTCTTCTGTATTTTGTTTCACTTATATTAATTCTTTTAATTAACGTGTCACTATGATAAAAGAAGATTTATTTGTATGATAAATTTCCAACAAACAAAAATCTTTTTTGTTCGAATATTTTTCTTATCTATTATTTTAATCAAACAAAAACTATTGATTTCATCCTGTTTTCGAAACTCGAAAAAACCAACATATCATTATTGCCAAGTATCAGCTTCCATTTTTATAGCTATCAAATCAAGTTTGATTTCAAAAAGAGGCACCAGATAGTACATGATGAGATATTTTAGTAGTTTACTTAATTGTACATTGTCAGAAAGGGATCGATACCTGATGATATTGTCACTCTGCAAGAATATCATTTCTGTCATGTCAAACTTTAACTAAAAGTGTTTCAAAATGATCTCTCCTAGAATTATACCTATATAACTTGTTTTTGCTGTTTCTCGGCTGATTGAAACAGTCAATGGCTATCGTACGTGCGATATACCTGAATGTTGAAGACGACCATATCTTTTCATCTATCGATAGAAAAATCTATCAAACTACTTAGTATTCGTTTGACTCGATGAAACTTTGCAAGCGGTTCAAAGTGGGATAAAATCAGCGAGGAAAAAAACATTGATTGAATTCACAAAGAAATTCTAAAGAAACTATTCTTGAGATATGGTTTTATGATTATTTTTATTGATATTTAGTAGATTTCGATCTCTATCAATTGATATAATTTGATAATGGATTTGATCAAATTTTTATGAGAAAAAGTTCATAAACAAAAATGATCGAAAAATTATAATTTACGACAAACCGATATCAAAACTTGGGTTCCGGAGTTAATTTTTTATGCTCTTTCAAACTAGCAAACTCATTTAAAAAACTAGAATTTTTCAGCAATGTCTTTGGGTAGTGGTCTCGTGGATGCTCTCTTAAATATTTAAATTGATAATTCATGCTTTTTTTTGCACAATTGATTAAATTATTGGATTCTTCCATAAAACTATTGTTTATAAAAGAATAATATTGACGAGTTTTGCTTTAGAATATGAATGTTCGGTTGAATTTTATTTTGTGGTCAACTAACGAAAAGGTTAAGTTATGACAGAATCTTTCTTACTGGCGAATATATCGATGGAATCTTTTGTCGATCGTTTTCTCTGTTTTGAAAACTAAAATGTTTTATTCAGAATTTCTATAACATTTAACAATATTTTATATATTATCTGAAAATGGTTGATAGTTTGACAATATAATTAGCCCATTAGAAATGCGAAAATAAAACATAAATTTTTTTTTAAACCAACTGATTAATATCCAAATTCCAAAATTTGGTATCAATGTATGACAAATACTGCATTGAATTATATTCTACTATTGTTTAGAAAATTAGATAAGACAATGTAAATTCCATACTTTTGTCTTCGATTGACTGGATTGATAACAGAGATGAAAATGACGACCGACTAGTAGACCGATCTGACCTCCTCAAAACGTTATCGAATTTCAGTTCTTACACACGCTCAGTGTTATTTGCATATACTCTGACCTGTGCCTCTTCTTAGATCGGAAGGTGATTATAACGCTTTGGCCCACAAACGAAAAATATGTAGGCTAGCATAGAAAGATTTCCTCTATCTAATGGTGTATGTATTATTAAGTTTTATTGCGTGTCGTCGAAACGTCAACCGATGGCTTCATCTTCGCCATAAAAAGTCATATACGACGAAAGTGGCGCCTCTACTAACATCTTTGCGGTATGCAATAGAATTTGATAATAGATATACCATTAGATAGAGGAAATCTTCCTCTATAGCCTACATAGATATTGTTCTGAGCTTAAAAGTCACCATGACACTTATTTTCGTCTTTCATGAAAATTAGATTCGAGTATTTAGTGTATTACTCGATACAGATTTTTGAAGTGACTCTGAATTTGATATTCGTTTCTTTTGGAACTATCAAACAATATTCTTCTTAAAATCATGAACAATTTTTTTCCTAAGTATATCATGAATAAAATCAAAAGAAATATTTGTGTAAATATGGAAGCTACCAAGCATTGATACTTTACGATGTATTTCAATTTTATAGACTTTTCTGATTTTGTTTTTTTTTTTTGCAGTCTAACTTTCGCGTTAAAAATATCATCTAAATATGTCAAAAACAAAAATTGTATAGATAACTCTACGAGCTCTGTCTAACCATGCCAAAAAAGTTTTTTTGATCGAATTTAGAAATGTCAGCATCTTAAGTTATGGTACACTTTGTTTTCTTTCCTAACTCTGTATTAAAACTTTCTATAAATCAAAAGATAAAATTTTCTTCGACATAAGCAAATTCTAGAAGTTAATATGACATTATTTGATTTCCATTTGTAGTGTTGTAGATAGCTGAAATATGTCATTCTACAGTGATGAATATATATATCAGAAAGCATAACAACATTCTAAGAATTTTTTTCTATGTTATTTTTCTGTTGAAGCTAATAATCTTTGTACGATGTATGATAGTTGACAGAAGGTCAGACGAACATTGATTGATTATTACATTCCAACTATTAGTACGATGAAAAATCTTTCTTTTTTAGCGAATGTTTTTATTACAATATATAATTACTTGAAAATTATTGAATAACTTATATGCGGAAAAAAAACAAGTTTAGAAATTATTGTATTGAAAAAAACTAAGAATAATAAAGATGTTGACTATGATATTGATATAATGACAATAACTGTTTGAATACATGTGTAAATAAAGTTCTACTACAAATTTAGCTTTTTTTTGTTAGCATTCCAATTGTGTACATATATCAAATGACTGAGAAGTAAACAGTTATTCAACATATCAATTAATAGACGATTGACAAGCCATTTCTTAGATATGATAGCGTTCCTTGAGTTCCAATACTTATCATGGATATTATCTATAATTTTGTTGTTTTTCTTTTATTATAGAACATGCAAAACACAAGTTTTTTGTTTTTTCTAAAGCAAGAATCTAAACTTCCATTTAACTACTATAAATTGATCGTAATTAAGATAGCATATGTCAAGCAGTTATATAGTAGATTCACTGCTGCTTATCAGTATCCTACAGACATTTTCCTCTATTCTTCCATCTTGACATACTTTGTCCTTGAATCATCTATATACGCATATGATATCGCATAACGTTTTTCTTCTGTTTGGCAATCAGCAACCGACATCGACTATAAAGATCTATACGTATATGTATATATACATATCTCTGTATATATACTGGTTCCTTGTAAATAGTGAATCTGGTTAGTCGTCTGTATACAAGACGCAAAAAAAGGACACATTAAGTATTTATCCATCCTTTTGTCGCTATTTCTGATACTCCAATATTCATACCATGGTAAGATCTATGTTCTTTCTTTTTCTTTTTATTTTATTTCATCATTGTAATAAATAATTGATCTAGGTTTTTCTATCATCGATAAATTATGATGTTGAAAGAATTACATATGTAGTAGAGTTTTTTTTTTTTTTTTTTTATATCGAAATTAATCTAGCTACTCTCATCGTTGCACATAGAACATCATATAGAGGATAATTAAAAAACACTTTGAATAAGAAAAAAAAAAAAAAAAGTACTGATCGATGAGAATAACAAAAGTTAAAATATCGTCTCATTGACATGTATTCCTGTAAGTGAAGTTGGTGAGGGTCTTGGTGGCACCGGTGGAGGAATACGTACAGATGTTGATTTATTTTGATTAGTATTGTTAGATGTTGATGATGGTGATTTATGACGTCCATTGCTAGTGAAATATCGATGAGGAGGTTTTTGATTATGATTATTATTGTTGTTATTGATAGATGAAAATTGAGATTTGAGAGGGGTTGTTGACATAGAAGCAGACGCAAATAGATGTTGTGAAGGTGACATTTGTTGATGTTGCTCTTGTAATGGTGGCGACGGAAACGCTTGTTGCTGTTGTTGAGTTTGATCAATTATAGTTGTATGGAGTACTGAATCGTGTGGTTGATAATAATCCATTGAATTTGAAAAACAACTATCTGCAAATGAACGTTGCTCAGTATTAAAAAATTTAGGAAAGAGTATATCAAATTTAACAATAAGATCTCCATGTTTAGTTGGATCTTTTGGATAAGGTAAACCTTCATTTGGAAAACGTTTTTCTGTTTGTGGTGTTAAAATTTCTTGATAAGTACGTAATTGATATGGTGTTTTTGTTGAATCAAGAAATGGAATGACTATTAATGTACCAAGTAATGCTTGTTTTAATGTGAGTTTAACTCGATAGATTATATCCGAATTTGAACGTTCAAATATAGGATGTGGTTTATCTCGAATAATAAATACAATATCACCTGCTATAGTATTTCGATCACCTTCATCACCTTCATTTTCAAAAGTAATTTTCGTACCTAAAATTATTTATATATGTAGATAAAGAATAATATAAGATAAACTTAATTTTTTTTCTTTCTTACCTTCTTTCCAGCCAGGTTTAATTTGAATTTCGAGAACTTTTTCATCTTTAACAGCTGTATTGAGTTCAGGTTTAAATCGTTTACGTGTTATTTTTAATTTCCTAGTTGTGCCTTTATTAATTTCCTCTAATGTAACATATAAATCAAAAAATGTTGTTGGATCTTTAGAACGTACAAAATAAGTATTCAATGGATCATATGTTGAATCACTACCAAATGATGAATGATAATTACCGGTTGAAAATGAATGACGAAAATTAGTATGAGAATCAGCATTGAAATAATTTCGAAAATCATCTGATCCAAATCGGTCATATAATGAACGTTTATAATGATCAGATAATAGTTCATAGGCTTCTCTAATATCCGTAAATTTTTTTTCAGCATCAACATCATCACGATTTTTGTCGGGATGATATTTAAGTGCTTTTTGTTTATATGCCCGTTTGATTTCATCATCAGTGGCTATTCGACTTACACCTAATATAGCATAATAATCTTTGTTAACCATTTTTTTTTCTCTGTGAAATAAAGAAAACGTTTGCTTGTGCAGGTAGAATTTTCTTTTTTTTTTGCCTTCAATCGATTCTTCGTATTCCCATCACTCTTATGCGTCTGTTATGATTATTTTCATGGCATATGTATAGTGTAACTTTTTTTTTGTTGCGGTATACTACATGTGGGTGAGAAGGAGAAAGAAAAGAATATGAAGTATTATTTTACCATTATCACTTATTTAAAACTTTTTGTGTATTGACATTCTTGTTCAATAATATTTTATCGAAAGAAAAGACATTTCGCAAAATAGTATGCATACATTATAGGCGACATATTGTGTCCGTCATTAATATGTTTTGTTGTTTCGTTTTGAAGCGTTCTTATGCTTATATAAATATACATTGAACTTTACTTTATAATCATAAAAGACAAATGAAAATAAGCAAAAAGAAAACAAGGAAATGAATTTAAAATATTATTATTTAGTATTTAATTGTCAAATATTTATATTTAGGTAGACTTGACAGAGCGATGTCTATTTGTATTCATTATATTCTTCATTTACATATGTCAACAAGCTCAAAGTCAATCAACAGGCGATAGCAATGCTGATCATAGTAAGAAACACCTAGAAGAACTCGAAGAAGTTAATGAAGATCTACGTGAAAAAGAATTAGAAAAAAGTATTTCTTTCTTAATATTTTGTTCAATGAAAAAAAAAATATTTCATGCATTTTTTTTAGTTTATTCAACATCAAAAGCAAATCAATTCTTAACCCATGATAAATGTATGCAACGTATGAAATGTCCAGCTAATCGTAAAGAAGAATGTAGTGAAGAATGTAAAGCAGGTAACTAGAAAATCGATGTCTTTTTTTCTAATATAACTTTTATATATGCTCAATAGGTAATACAGAAGAAGAAATTGAAGAACATCATGAATTAACCAGAGGTGAACATCGAAGTTCATTAAGTAAAATACCAAAACAAAAATATGACCCAAATATAAAGCTTAAAACACATTCAAGTAAAAGCAAACATTCATCATCTAATAGTCAATCAAAAATCAAAACTGATTTGTAATGTTTCATTTTTAATCTCAAATTTATTCAGTTTTTTTTTTTATAATAACCTCATTTTGTCATCATAGAAAATTAAAATTAGACAATCATCCATTTTCTTTTATTTCTAGTTTATTATAATTGTTAATTTTTTATTATATATATATAAAGACAACAGTGCATCCTCAATAAACAGTAGTTAAATGTTCGTAATAAAAATGAAAATAAATTAATACCGAAAGTTACAGATACTGAGAAAATAACATTCTTAATTTTGTTTATATTCTTGTTTAAATAATACGATGCTGAACAAGTTATAATATGATTCACTTATACGATAGTTTTTTTAATGAATACCATGGTCCCACTTCAGGAACCATAGAAAAGTTGATTTTTGAATTTTGACTGCAAACCTTAACGAAAGTAGTTTATTGTAAAAGTTTCAAGTCTGTTGATTTGTTTCTATCTCGACAAAAGAACATCGAATCTACCGTTATATATAAGCGATGTAAATGACATGCTTTTACCATCGCTGCATCTTAGGATAAGGACAACGACAAAATCTGAAATATTCACCAGAAACTATTTTCGTTAAGGATTGTCTCTATGGAGAGTTTCCAGTCAAAAATTTACAACTATCATAAAAGTGCAGTAAACAAAGAAAAGGTTCTGCCTTTGTTAAAATCAACTCATGCGAGTTGTATATTTTTATCAACCGAGAAAATGTACCTTCCTTGCTTGTTTCCTTTCCTGTACGATTTCTCTCCATAAGTCTGATAATAGAAAATCAATCCTTTAAGGTTTTTTTTTCTTATTCTTATCAAACTTATTCATAGCCAAAATACGAAGTAAATGACGTTTGTCAATTATTGTATGACTTATCCTCATAGATGTCACTAAATTCCGATGAGCCATTTTTTTTTCTATAAAAAAATTTTTCAAGTCAATATTTCAGAATTCTTTATTAAAGTAAAAAAAAATACAAAACTATTTTATAATTATTTAAACTTTTCTATTTCATAATTGATTCGCTAGAAACCTACAAGCTAACATGAATGGATAGAAATAACCAAATGAGGGTCCCATGAGACTAATGGTTGTTATTTGTTTACATATTATTTCCTGTATCCTGCATACCTGTCAGATCAAGTCATTTATTTTACCGAAAAACTATTAATTATTCTTATTCGGGAAAAAAACACTATTCTATTATTATCTATTTATCGATGCAATTAATATTATCTACATAAAATAAGAATTATGGAAAATGATTATAAATTTCTTACTGATCATTCATATTCAATGATTGATTATGATACCGTATCTTTAAAACAACGGACAATGAAAAATGAAAAACACGGTCGAATTTCAAATCGTTCTAGTATGAACAAAAAGCCTCTATTCTCGATTTTCTGTTTATAAAAGTTTGTTTTTTATTTCACTGTAATTTATTAGACAAAACGATATCAAATAATCGTACAGTATCAATTGATCGTAGTTCAAGTGATAAAGAAAATAATTTATCAAGTCCACCTAATGTAGCAATACCAATAATTAATACTTTAAAAGCAAAAATAAAACCATCAACAAAGAAAAAAACATCACGATCTCATCTATCGGCTAATTCACGTAGACAATCAAAGAAAAAACAAAATAATAATAAAACTTCATCAAAAGTATATATTTCAATAACAAAATATTCAAAAATATATCTTGTTTTTCTTCTTCTATTTAAGAATAATATTAAATCAACACAAGGTAATATTAATAAAAATAAAAATGCAATACATTCTCATTCAATCGATACAATTGATACAACACCATCTTTATCCATTGAAGAACGTGTTAAATTACGTCGAACAAGACCATTTCAAACACCAATTATACCTGTATTAAAAAAAAAATCTAAATCTAATCTTAAAAAACGAATAAATTTATCCACAACAAACAAAAATATAATTAAATCGAAAAAATTCTTTCTTGGATCAGGTCTTGATCTTGATAATATTGTTCTTGGTAATCGTCAACGACGTTCTGCAAAAACATAAATATGTTATTATATCAGTTTCTTCTCTTTTTCTTCTTTGTATTATATTTAATTTTCTTATATTATTGATTATATCATTTATCTATTTAGTAGCGTTTAAAAACAAGTATCATTTATGTATTTGTATATATTATAATTTTTGTTTGTTTTGCTTTTCTCTTCCGTAGATTTCTCTTTTTTTTTCTCGTATAATGATTATACATCGTGCCTATTCGTATTAGATTGGTTCTTGTAGAACTAAATTGTGTATTGATGAACAGAGCAAACAAAAAAAAATTCGTAGCATAATATATGTATGCACTAAAAGCAAAAGTTCTTTAAATCCAGACGAATCAGGATAGAAGAAAAAAAATCAAATGCAATTTTTATTATTAGGAATGTAGACAATATCTTGATCTATCTTGTAGACATTATGGATATGAATACATCGTTGTCTAAACGAATTTGTTCTCATCGTTTTATTAATCAACATTCTGGTAAATGTCTTCATTGTGGTTATTTAAAAATGCCTATTGAATCAGGTATTACTAAGAATAATTCTCTAAAAAATGATAATAATAATAATGATGATGATGATAATGATGGTTCATTAGAACTAGAACATTATGAACGTTTAGTATTAATGCTTGATGAATGGAAAAAAAATATGATAAATCGTATTGAATCAATATATAAATCAAAACTTCAACATTTACGTGATGAATTTGAACGACAACAAGCTGAAAGACGTCGTTGTCATATTGAACCAAATAAAACAGAAAATGATGATGAACATGAAAAAATTGATTTAACAAATTTGAATTTTAAATTAATTAATTCTTCATTTATTGATACTGAATATACATTAATAGCTGCATCGTCAGAAACAATTTTTATGCACGATGGTCGTACATTTAAATTATTTGATAAAAATCTTAATCCATTAGTTGCATTAGATTTAACAAATTCAATGCGTGAACGTTCGAAAGTTGTTGATTTATGTTATGTTTCATATTTATCATCATATTTAATATTATATGAACAAGGTTTATGGATATTTCGACCAGGTTCAAATGCTAATTTAATAACATCAATACAACGTCATGGATATTTATCATTAACAACAAATACAAAAGATTTATTTATGCTTGATATTGATGGTACGATTGAACAACGATCACTTATATCATGGACATTTCTTCGACGTTATACAAAACAACATTTATTAAATGATTATATTAATGATCAATTATTATCAATACGTTTTCATTCAATTGAATATACAATATTAATTGCTATTATACGTACAACAAATAATCGTCGATGTTTAATGATATATAAACATTATGGTTCAAATACATTTAAATTATTAGAAAGAATATTATTTCCTAATATAAATATTTATACACTATCATCAATACATATATCACATGTATGGTTAATAACAACATGTGAAAAACAATCATTTTTTTTTATTGATAATAAACGTGAATATAATCAACGTGAACAACAACAAATATGGTTTCAAATTGATTGTGATTATAGAATTAAAAATGCTATTGAATTTGGTACAAATCAAAGAAGTATTATTATAAGAACAATACGACCAAGTCAAATAAGACTTTATCATTTTTGATAATATTTGTTTTTGTATATTTGTATTAGTGTTAGATAAAAAAAAAAGTAAAACGTTGTTTTGTTTTTTAAATATAAAAGTTTTTGAAAGATATTGGAGATGATTTTGTTAAATAGAGAATCATGTGAAATCTACCAGCTTCTGTTAGATTTCTTTCTTTTTTTTTTGTTATATATTAGATTACATTCGTAGAGTCTCAAGAGATTATTTTAAGTATAATATATGATTGATCAAGATTTTATTTCGTGAAAATTATACGTCTTTCACTACTACAAATGATTCCCTTGGTATTGACTGGTTTAGATCTCAAGAATGAATACAAAAACAAACAAATGAATAAATGTCAAGTGTGATAAACAGAATGGAACAAAATACTAAGTATGCGGATGTGGAATTGAAAGAAGACTCACACTCCACATCGTTGCTTACATTAGAGATGATTGTTAAGAATTTGAAAAGTATTTACAACTGTTCATTGTTATTCTGTTTATCAGTTGTTTTTCTTCTACTGCCATTTAGAGACATTTCCTCGTTTAATTAGCGTATTATGGATACCAATCAATGTGTGAATGAACGTGAGAATGTATTTAAATTGCAGTTATAACTCAAATTATTCTTTTCTTTTCTTATAAGTCGGTTACAGGCAGATAAATTTCCTTTTAATATTCGGAAGTTTCATTTTATAAATAGTAAAAGAGAATGTGACATGTATGTATCTTTTACTTGACTTTGATTCGAGGTCATCAGATTCCGCTCAATTCAAGATATGTTGCTGATAGAAGAATATTGAGCTTTGAATTTTTGTATGGATGTTTTATGAATGAACATTTCGATCAGGCTGTGTCTTGACAGGACCATATCTCAAGAATGACTTAACCGATTGATCTGAAATGTTTCATGACTTATGCAAGATGGACAGAAAGCCCACATTTTAAATCACTTTGATGCTTCATAATTCGTGATTGAAATAAGATAACGATCAGAAATTTTCACTGAAATTATAGTTTATAGATGTCTCTTCACTGAGAATTTTAGTTCTATACATCCGCCGTTTTAGTCACGAGGACTCTCACAAAACTAGGTTTTCTTCCAATAAATAGAATAGCTTGAGGACTGAATTTAAAAAACTGAAAGACCTATCTAAGGTATACAAATTAACAGTAAAATCTGTCTGAACCATTCAGGAACAACTTGTAGCAGAGGTCACCTTCAAGTGCCTCAAACTGTATATATACTTCTTCATCAGAATTTCATCATTCGCACTATGACATATTTTCGATGAGTATATCTAGATTATTTTTGATGGAGAACACAATCGTCCTAGTTTCTTACTTACATTTCAAAGTTCATATGAAAAAATAAACAATGAAAAATACGAAAATATTTTTTTCGACACCTTACGTACAAGTATATACTATAATAAGGATGCCATAAAATATAGATGGTTTCCACTTATTCAATCTAAATTTTGCTAATTAGTACATTAATAGTATCTTTTCTAACATACTACGGTAATAAAAATGTGGAAGAGCTAAATTGTAACCTTCATTGTTAGCCTTTGTCTCTTAGACATGATGTATGAATATTTCCTTCTAACTATATATTATTTAAGAGTGTGGGTCATCTCTCCACCTGTATCCACACCCCTATATTTGTAAGTTCGATCAAATCAATCAAACATATGAATGAAATGAATAGCTACAGAGTATTGTTCGATAAATTTTTGAAAAACTTGCCAAAATCAAATGTAATTTTGCTTGTATTATAAACTCGGTTAACATTATCAATTGAATTACATGCCTTAAGTTGACAATTGATTTTGGCAATATTTTGCGATTGTATTCGACTGTCCAGTAAAAACATTACTTGACGTGATACTGAATTAACATCTTCAGAATAGTAAGGACATGTTGCACAGATTTGTTGACTGGACGAAGTTTCTTTATCGACAGAAATTTGACATCGTTGACAAGTGTCAAGATCTGTTGAAGGACAATCAAGTGTAGAATTATTAAAATCATAGCATGCAGCAGAATGTGCATCAAATGGAGAAACAATTTCAAGTAATGGTGTTAATTCTTGAGAAAATTTTTCTTCGATAACTAGTGAACGAAGAATTCGTTTTAAACTCATTTCATCATTGCATTTATCCGACATACAAACATAACCAAATGAATGATTTACCTGTGAAGATTCGTGTTGATGTACAACTTTCATGTCAGCAGAAGTCATGATGATACGTTCTGAAGCATAGTTGGCAAATCGAGTATTTATGCTATCTACTAAAATATTAGAATTGCCGTCATTTTGATTCCAAATAACAGTAATCCAACATATTCCACCATTGACCAATTGACATTTAGAAAACGATGGAACTGTATCACTTGTCACAGTATAATTAAGTGTAAAACCACCTTCACAAAAGTAACACTGTAATGATAAAACTAAAATAGGCGATTTAAACAACAAAACAAGCAGAACCACGGTGTACAACATGAGTGTTTAGTCTTTACAGGAAAAAAATACGAAATTGAATCTATGATATCTTTACCTTTTATACACGTATCTAAGATAAGCACTGCACAAAATGACAAAGAACATGCTTGTTTGTCATTTTTTTTTGCAATGTGACTCATGTGTTAAGAACGAATCAATAAAAAACTTGAAGAGCAATTTACAATTGATATGCGATTTAATAGTGCTACAGTAATCATGATGAATTCTATGGTTGAAACGGTTTATTGTCACTATCAATCGAACCATTGCTTTTAGTTTTCACAACCAAAAACAAAAACTCATCTAACAAAAGTTTCATCGAATAACACACAATCGAACAAAAAAACAACCTAAGATAAATTTATATTCATGTAATAGAATCGAGGTTCACAGAAATGAACATTTAAATAAGACAAAGCAAAAGCATGAAATTCATGCATTACTCTTCAGTACATTATATAATCGATCATTTGAAAGTGTAAAGTGATAGATGACATGTATAATTTCGATCAAGTCAATGTGAACACAGGGGTATCATGGACAAGATCTTGTGAATTACATATTTTATCGAAAAAAAAGTTGTTAAATATGTTGAACTGTGTATGTGGTGTATTTTTAGTATTGTGACAAAAGAATCACCAAATATACAGCATGTGTAGTAGAACACAGAAAGTAAACAAAAAAGAATGCTTTTAGTTTATTGTTTCAATAGGAAACGATGAAAAAAGTTTACATTTATAATACATGTATAATAAAAAAAACACAAAATTGTCTTTGATTTATTTGTTCAGAGATATACATTATTAATAAAAAGAAAAAGATATTTTGGGTGAATGTGAATGTCAACATCCAGATCCTCGGTCTTTTTTCCTATCAAAATGTTAGACAAATGTTTATTATCAATATTTGTTATAATCAGTTTGATATAATTAAAAGATGAAAGAAGCAAAGGTTGTGAGTTAATTTCTTGTCGTACAATGAATATCTTTGTGAAATGTTGAGCGGTATAAAATTTCAAATTGCTGTTTTTATACTATCTTTTAATTGTACCGTATTAAAAATAAAGCATTTATTCAACGAGAATAGAAACTATTGATCCTTTAAAAAACGATTATACGGATATACGATGGTATTAAATATAAATTGAACGTTATTCAAATAGAAATGATGATACCATTATATCAATTGGCATCAGTGATTAATATTATATTCTCAGATTATCTAGAAAATAAATTCGATAAATCTTTTATATAAAATTCCACTTGATAAAACATCATCAAATATCAAATATAATCTTTGATATCATCACCCAGGAACTGAAACAGATAAAATGAATTTTCGATTGAATATTTCTGGCATATTCTTAAGATTTATTTGTAATTAATGATCGTCTTTGGATCTGTCTTTATGATGAAAATACAAAAGTCTTTTCTTCATTTATTTATTTTTTATACTAATTCAAACAAAAGTAAAGTTACAAGAGAGAGAAATAGAGATAATCAATGAACCTGTATTCTTCGTTATTAATATATTTAAATATTTATTATTGAATGAAATTTTTTAACGCAATATTTTTCTACGGTTTTCTTATTTATGTGAGGGAAATTGCCCATCTTTATTGTCACATGTTGATGACGCACATTTAAGCAGTGGGGGAAAAATTAGCTAAATGATGACTAATATAAGATTGATTCATTTTTTAGCGTAATATTCTTTTATCACTTTTTATTGACGCAGACAAAATTCCCCATTGTTTTCGTCGCCTATCGATTCTCATCGCATGAAGCAGTTAGATATAAGCTGATATCTTTTGCCTGTCTCTCTTCATTCTTGTTTTTGTTGACGAGCTTAAAAATATATAATAGTGGCTGCTTTTGAGTCCGTTTTTTTTCATGAAATATTTCTTATCCTTCGATTTTATTCTCATTCATATTTCTATTATCCAATAGATATGAGATCGTGTCTTACTTGAGCAGATCTTACCAATACGTCGCTTGTCTATTCTCTTTCTAGATATTCGAACTCACGTCTTTCGGACACAACTCTTGATTCCAGAACAATCAATCCTGCTGATGTTTTTGCAAGATATCCAGGTTTAGACAGTTCCAGAGCTATCTTGACATCAAGGATCGATAACAGATGATTGTCTGTCGCAGATTTCTGCTTTCAATCGAATTAGATGGATTTTGGGTTGAAACCAGCATAGTGCTACGAATAATTCTTACGATGAAACAGAGTTGAATGTTTTGAGAGTTTGTTTGTCTTTTACCGATAGGTTTTTTTGTACAACTGGGCAATGTTGCGATTAACATTTTAGAGTCCTTTATTTTATTTAAGAACTACTGAGAAAAATCGAAAACGCCACCTGTGCCATGTTGTAGCTAGAAGTCATAGTGAAATTTCAACATGAGCCCGAAATCGGAGACTAGGAGGAGCGATGTGGACTGATTAAACAGGTAAACATTTAAGAAAAACATTAAAAAAAAAGGTGCATATTGATCTCTAACTATAAGCCAAGCTTTTCTTTCAGAAACATTGATTCATTCTAAACTCTGAAGAAATACAGGAATATAACACATTTTTATCTTTGTTTTAGATAACAAACAAGATAAATATGCAAAAGCAAAAACAATCATGTGTCGCTTGATATTTTTCTATTCTCTTTTCGTTTTTGACATCGTCCTCAATGTTCAAGGGAACAACAACCATAACAAGTTCCACTTGAGAAGCTTGATTAGTGAAAGATTTCGTCGCGCAACCTGTTCTAATTCGAGAATGTGTTTGTCTAAATGGGGCTACTGTGGAACGGGTTCAGCTTACTGTGGTGCTGGGTGTCAAGCAGGTCCATGTACAGGAAATAGTGGGGATAATAATGGTGGTAATACTGGAGGCAGTTCAGATAATCTTATTGACATCAATGTGTTTGTCTGTATATTTTAAACGTCACACAGAGAGTCAGTTTTTTAAATCCTCACGGTTATGATTTGCGAATTTATGGTTGTTTAGCATATATAAAAGACCTATGCTATTTACTACATAGTAGTCTGATCGGTCGAGTGCTCCAGGAAAATATTAAACTCTTAGTATGTTGACCGCATGCTTATATAAGAAATGTCCTGTGAAGTTTCCTAGTAGATGATCTACTTGACTTTATCTGGATTAGTATTTTTATTTTTCAAAAAAAAACAAAAAGCGATGGAGTCGTCTAAAGTAATGATCAGTACTTGTCAATGTTATGTTACGAATTTCACACAATCTTGTTTCTTATCTAATTCGAATGGATTTTCTACAAATTTAATTTTGATGCATATATCATACCAGTTCGATGAATGCACCCAAGTCCAACATGTTTAAAATCTCTGATAAATTACCATGTCATATTAATGAGCATTGATTTTCAAAAGTAGTTCTTCGAACAGGAGACGGATTGAAATAGTTTTAAAAGCCGAAAAAAAAATCATTATATTCCAAAAAAAGTCGTGCACAGTCAGATCAAGTCAAACATACTAGAGAATTTTGACGCCAAGCATTTAGAGAAACATTTAGATATAAGAATTAGAATGGAAATAACTTTTCCTTCAACATATTCAGATGTTTATCTCTTCTGAAAAATCCTGTCGTTGTGGTTTTCATTAGGACCTCTTAGTCAGTGGTATTCATTCATATCATGTTCACTTAAATTGCTTAAAGTAGAAAGGTACAGTGTACAATGCATAGATGTTTTGTTTAAACTTTATCTATTATTTTTAAAGCATTGACCCATATATTTGTTAATCTACAGATAATTCAAGAAAGTTTTAGAATATCCTTCATTCTAAAGATAACCGAATGTAAATATTTCAAGAGTCTGATGTAATTCGTAACTGATTCGTTACTTATTTCATAAAAAATGAATCAAGTGAAAGTTAGACGAGAACACCAAGAATTCAGTACAGTGCACTACATGAATGAGTCAGTATCGTATTTAGCTTAAGGGTATTTCGGTTATACCATTTCAAATAGAGATTGGAGTAATTTTTCGAAAACAAATCCGTATATAAGATACTATTTGCTTGAAAATGGATTATTCGCGAGCTGTGAACGTCATTAGAATAATGTCAACTACTATCAAAATCAACATCGATAGAATTAAACGATTACAGACTGTTTCTGCACATTTCTATTGCAAATAAGTGGCATAATTTTTTACAAGAATTGACTTTTTGTAATGACATGATCTACGGAGCTCGCAAGTATGTCATTTTGAAGCAACCACTGTCTTAAACTTATCCGATATTTTCAAAAGATTTAGAATTGCTCAATCAAATTTAGAAACCATTCAAAATGTAAGCGATCTTTCTAACTTTTGAAATTAAAATGTTCAAGAACAGGTGATCTCTCTGCCTTTATAAATTTTTCGTCCGAATAAACCTCTCTTGCGTATAAAAATAGCTCGAACTTAAGGATGACCCCAGAATTTTTCGTAGACAGAAATCTGATGAGCTTCAATAGTTCTCCAACTTGAAAGCCATATTGAGCAAATTTAACTTCATCCTTAGAGAGACCATGTTCGAATACAATTATTTGAGGTACACTTTTCTTTGCGTAAAACTGATGATCTTGTTTTTTTTTGCTAATACTATAAATCTACAAATGATGAATCGGTCTGTCATCCATATTTTATTCTATTTGTGAATCTCGTCAACTGGCGAAAATATTTATTACGATCGAAGCTGCTCAGAGCTGCTTGGTCTCATCAGAAAATATAGAATGCTTATCAAAACTTGCAGTGTAATCACTCTCGTATTGAATTATGAAAAACAACGAAGCTGTCTTCGTCATAAACGTAAGCCTTCTCTATGTTTGCTATAGTTCTTGACAGGACTAAACAGGTGGATATCAACATGAGTGTCACTCAATGTTGGATAGGCTGAAGATTCACTGGATTCACTGTATGTTTCCACACTGCTTGAAAACTCCTATGTTACAAAAGAAGTGCATAGTTGGAAAACTATTTTAAA